CATATATCCACATAAACTCACATATCCTAATAATCTGTGCCTCTTACTCCATAACCCTCTAACTTGAGCGGCACTTGAGCCTATTACAAAGTGAACAGCATTGTAAAAAAGCCATATAAAAACTATAATAACGATTATCTTTTTCTTTTAAATCCCAGGAAAATTATATTTTTTAGATATAAAAATAGCTTTAGAAATGTTTCAGCTTGATTAGTCCTATGAATTTGGGATTTAGATTTTTAAACGGATAAAATCTGTTAATATTTAAGAAGTGAGCAGGTCGTTTAAAAATTGTGTATTTATTGAGAGGGTGCGTACTCATGCGAGACTTTGTCTAGATTTATATCACCTTTGTTTGAAACGCTAAAATTCCATTCTCTATTTCGGTGATCCCGATTATAAATTGCAAGAAGATAATCCTTTTTCGCTTTGTCTTTTTCCATCGACCATTCTTTGACACTTGAATAATTCAAGACTTACTTTAGTTTAGGAATTCTGGAAGGTTCTGCCTCCCGGTTGGATTATCGAACTTTTTGTTTTCCATTTCTGATTTTTTTCATAAAAGGGCTCTCAGGAAATAAATGCAAATCAGGATGCTTCTTTTTATGCTTCACTTCCGTTTGGGAAAATGTCGTTCACAAACAGTAAACAGTTCCCTTCAAAGATACTGGAGACAAGTAACATCTATCTCGTTGTAATCGGCTAACACCAACAGTGTACATAACAACATGATGAGCTGTTCACTACATACACGAGTTAATATGTAGCGCATGCAACCTCCCTCGCTAAGGAAATTAGTTGGATCATAAGCCATCACAAGTTGTACAGAAAGAAGCATAATATAACGACTGAAGCTGCAAAATACTTAAAAAAAGAAAGCAAAGGCAAATGCAATCGACCAGATGCAGAAACGATGGCCAATAAACAGCTTCACGCTCAATACTCTGCCCGTAACAAACAAGTTGATGTAAACGAACCTCATACCCATCTGGCTACGTAGAGGAGGGTTAAAAGCTGAAACAGTATTTTTGCTGCACAGGACCAATGTTTGCTAGGTAGAAATGATCAAACCTATATACAGAAAAATTGTTATCCCAAAATGCAGATTCTGTGATAAATATCCAGAAAAAAAATTGACCATCTTGTATCAGGTTGCGCGGTATTGGCACCCACTGAATATAAAACTCGGCATGACAGATTGGGCCAAATCTGCATTTGAAATATGCAACTTTTACGGGAAAGAAACTGCAAGAAATTGGTATGAAGACCACCCAGACACGGTTACGGAAATAAGGAGCTATGACAATTTTATAAGAGTTCACAATACACATAGAACAATCAATGCTAAGCGCCCATCAAACAAAAAAATGCCTCCTAATTGACATGGCAGTCCCAACAAACTGCAATATATCTTTGAAGATCTTCAAAAACTATCAAAATACAAGGACATTGAAATCGCGACCTCAAAAAAAATGTGACACATGAGAAATTGTAGTTGAACCCCTAGGACTGAATGGAAATGATACCAGTAGACTCATTGAAGGGAGACCTGGAAGCCCATGCCTTAAAGAAATACAAACAATTGTCCTCACGAGTATAGCCCACACCTTACGAAGGGCTTTTTTTTTCAAGATTGCTTTTGGAAAAAAATCATGATTCCATTTCTTGCCTTATGTCTCTAGTCGGTGATTGGAAAGAAATGCGTACCCACCAGAAATCAAAGGAAATAATAATAATAATAATAATAAAAATAATAATAATAATAATAATAATAATTCAGCAATGAAGGAAGACAACAAATTTCGAAAAAGGAATTGAATGAACGCGAAAACGAGAAAGCTTCTCATTTGCTACCGCATGCATCATTTCAAGACTGATGTTGATCATCTGCATATGCCCAGATCCGAAGGAGGTGGAGGATTAGTTCAACTAGAACTGTCATACAAAACTACAACAAAAGCAGAAACCAAAGGAAATAATAATAATAATAATAATCTTATTAATTCTCTGATACTACAACTGATATGACTCTTATGGTTTCTGATATTAATTGATTGTACGTGCTAAAATGTATATTTATTCTTGGTGACGGAAGGGAGACTATGTTTAATATCCCTTTCGGTATCACAGATCTGCTTTTCAGCTGCCTGGCCATAACCAGTTGGGCGTGTCTTATAAGGGGTTCTGCATTGTGAATGATTGCTTATGGGAGGGATTTTTAGGAGTGCATCATTACCGATACAGTTAAATTTATAAGTTTAAAGGATGAGGCAGACAAGGCGACTTGGGAGACAAATCCAGATATTGGGAATTTATCTCAATCGGAGACCATCTAAACCAGTGTGTCTCAACGTTTTTTGCCGAATCCACCCATTTTCACCATATTATCCCCCACTTCTGTCCGACACAAAAAGTACAACCAAAATAATATGCCTATATTATTGAGAATCATCATTCTTTGCCATATTATAAACTAGCAGCATGGCCCGGCGTTGCCCGTGCTTGATTCAAAAATCGTACCACTCATACAGCAACTGCCATCACTTGACTTAAAATATTTTGCCCTTCCTTGCCTTTAAAGGAGTGCCCTTTGCCGTGCTGATGTTGTTACATGCCTTACTGCTTGCCTATCTCACACTGCAAAATTTTTCTAAGCTCTATACTAAACATTAAATCTGTTACGAAAAAAGAACTAAACAAAATGAACACAAAACGATCAGCTTTAAAAAAGGACTCGTAACTGGAAAAACCGAATGAAAAAAGAATGTTAACAACAAATACTTTTTTCACACCCAACCCAGTTCTGCGGAATCAGAATCAACGTTGAGTTTAAGCAAGCGAATGAGCCAATTGGAGTAAAGTGCCATGCAGATTTAAATGTTTCTCACTTGTGACGAATGCAGCTATCAATTTTTTTTTTGCATGCTAGCATGCTAGGTAACATTCGTGTTAGTCAGCTGTTGGCTCTCACGGGCCAATAGAATCTTCCTGCCTATTCGTGGCAGCCAGCTATTGGCTCTCACTCTGGCCAGTAGAAAATGGCCGCAAACTACATGAAAACTGCCGTAGAAGCATGAAAAAAATCGATTATTTCCACGATCGATGGGAGTTGGGAAATGCAAAGTCAGTCTTGGCCTTCCCGCTAACTTGGAGCATGTCCATGTAAATTTTGGTGCAAATCCGTCGAAAATTGCGGCCGTGCATTCGTTACACACACAGACACACACACATCCTGCCTTTTATAGATATAGATTTGTATGGATTATTTTTATCGAAGGTCTTTACAAAGTTAATAGAAATAGACAATGTTGATATATTTTTAAACTTGAACACACGAACAGTAATTTCTTTTAAAAATAAACTTTAAACATATTTTATCTATATTTCTGAGATGAAGTATTGTAACTACTTACACTATTTACATTGTTCGGACTGTTGTACTCATTTTTATTGTCATATTCACAACGTTTCGGCCACCGTACGCTCCAGCCTTCTTCAGGATGTATCTCTATATCTATGACGAGGTATTGTAATTATTTAAACTATTTACACTGTTCGGACTGTTGTCTTCAAGCTTCATTGCCATATTCATGACGTTTCGGTCGTTCTACGCTGCGGACTTCTTCAGGATGTATTTACGTTTCTGAAATGAGGTATTTTAACAATTTACACTATTTAATTAATTCGAACTGTTGTCCTCACCTTTATTGACATATTCACGATGTTTCGGCTATTGTACGCTTCGGCCTTCTTCAGGATCTGGCTATATTTATGAGATGAGTTATTGCAGATATTTAGACTATTTCCATTGTTCGGAATGTTGTCCTCATCGTTTTTGCCATCTTCACGACGTTTCGACTTGTACGCTCCGGCCTTCATCAAGATATATTCTCAGATGAGGTATTCTAACTATTTACACTACTTGCATATTTATAGGTTTCTATTCTAATTTCTGAAGAAGTTTCTTGATCAATTATTGCTAAAGTGTTTTTTTTTTCCTCACATCAGTTCTGTATACGACATTTTTATAGGATTCTGTTTCTACGGAGTCTTTCATTCCGCAGTGGTTCTTGTTTCCTCTTTCATACTGGGACTACCGTATATGTCGGCGTACAGGGCGACCTTTGAACCTTAAAAATCCCTCACAAAAATAGGGGGCGTCTTATACTCCAGGTTAAAAAAATGTGGTTTATAATCAGTAGCATAGACGATTTTAGCCGTTAGGCTGACACCTGCCACGCCCTCTTTTTTCGCTTATGTTGAACAAAAACACAACTGGATATGTGTCTCAATAGGCGGTTTACAGATGGCGTTGCTCGAACGATTGGATGGCTAGCGGGAAAAAGTCATTCAGGCTACCGGCATTGCCTACCGAAAACACAGCAGCAACTCATGAGGTTTTGTAGAATGTTGGTTGTCAACATCTCGCCATCTTTTTTTTTTATATCTCGCCACCTTTTATTTTATTAGCATTTGAGTGGAAATATATACGCTTACTGAAATTATTTATTAAATTCAGTGCAAGATATTTTAAAATACAATTTGTAGGGGTCGCCTTGTATGGCGAATATAGCCCGAAATTTACATTTTAACTTGACAATTTGGGATTCGTCCTATACACCCAGTCGTCTTGTACGCAAGCATATACGGTATTTTGTCTTTCATATACATTGTGTGTGGGTGGGGTAATAGATAGAGACGCAGAGTTATAGGGGATCGAGTTTCAATTCCAATACATTAATTTAATGACAACTACTCTTGTGAAATGTATGAAAGCACCTACCCCCTAGCTATGGGTTAAATAGTAGGTCTGGTAACTGAAGAAAAAACGTTGATATGCTAAAAGGAAACCTGTTAATGTCAGTAACCGCCCGCCCCTGTCGCAAGAGAATGTCTCACAAGGTCGAAGAGTGATGTGTACTTTCGTCAATGTCATAGAAAACAAAAAGCTCAAGGCTACACGGGACATCTTGATTTGGGGAAGCCTCAGGGTCCAGATAATGGTGCGACACTCTCAGGTGAGAGATTAGTTGCAGGGCGTGATACCCGACCCGTCAAGTGAGGCTTCGATTGATATTAGTAGCAAGTTAACAGAAATCACACATGCAGTAATTCGCAAAGAATAAAAGAATTATTCTTATGATAAAGAATACGTTTCAGCTTTCAGCTTTTTGCTAAACTATAAAAAAAAAAAAAACAAATGGTACGATTTCCTTTATATTTGATTCGATCGGCTTTCTAAACTTTCTCTTTTCATTTTTCTTTCTTTCTTTCTTTTTTTCTTTCGTTGAAATAACGTCCGCACTAACATTTTCCATTCTGACATTCAAGTCAGTCTACGTTCATTTCTTTTTCTACTTTCATTTCTTTCTTTCTTTCTTTCTTTCTTTCTTTCTTTGTAATAACCTACTCTCAATAAATCAGTGTTCTTTCATTTTTCTTTCTTTTTTTTCCTAATAACCTATTCTCACTAACCCAGTTTTCTTTCTTTTTTTTTCTTTCTTTCTTTCTTTCTTTCTTTCTTTGTAATAACCTTTCTCTTTCTAAATCAGTGTTCTTTTCATTTTTTTTCTTTAAATTTTCTAAC